AAAAATTTTATATTATAATTTATGTTATACATCAAATATAAAATTTTTTTTATTTTTTCAAAAAAATTTATATATAAATTTTATCAATTTTAAATTATCATAAAAAAATTTTTATATTATTTTCATATTGTATTTAAAATTATAAGGTCGATTGCCATTAATGTATAAACTTAGATCATGAAATTCCTACAGACATGGAGAGAAAAAAAAAGAAAAAAAAAAGAAGGTTTTGATCAATGTAAGCCCATCATTACTCCATTCTGTTTTTCAGAAGGAACTAACTCCATATTTGATAGACAATACGGAGAATCAATGCTTGATTTGGCCAAATTATACGTTTCAAACACCATGCCAACATAAGCTAGTAAGTTACTTATCTTTGGCATTTAAAGCCAACACATCTTTAAAATGAGACATCAAATAAATTTAAATTTTAAATTTCAGCATTTAAAAATTTTTTTATTTAGATGACAACTTCTTTTGTATAAAAAAAAAAACTAAACTATGCCATGACGCCAATTATTTGCATGATTTCTTCCTTAAGAGATCATTTCTTGCCAAAGAATTTGTTCCCCAATCCAATAAAATTAATAGTGCCAAATTTTTGCTCAAACTTTTCTCTATAAAAACAGTTTTCCCCCATTGTTGTTTCTTTTTGTTTTGCACATTTTCTTGATTTCCCATAATGTTTATTAAGATCCAGTGATCAGTTGAACGATTGTCACTTAGTACTTTATAGGTTAGTTAGAGATAAGCTCTGTTGCTGGAAAGCTATTGGAAAGTTCCCTCTTAGTTGGAAAAGAATGTGAGAACTTCACAAACAAAAAGATCCCAAGTAAATTGGACTTTCTAAGAATGATTTCGACACCTGGTCGATCCATCCCTTTTAACGTACTTTCTTTCAAGTTACATCGCCAACTCCATGTTACTCTAAATCTGGAATGTCATTTTATTTAGTTTACCTTTCCAGATTCCAAATCAGTGGCTCACTACAAATCTCACATGAAATAATTCTTGCAAGATATATATATATATATATATATGTATGTATATATGTAAAAGATGGATTTTTCTAAGTTTTTAACCATCTTTAGTTGTTTCTATTTCCTTAGGACTGCTTTGACCACGTGGTCAAAAAGATTTTCATCGTGTCGTGCGTATCATTTTATCATTAGACGCATCCAAATGAAGAATTAATCACATTTCTTTTCAACTAACTTATGTACGGATTCATTGCTAATGCTTAGTTCATTTGGTCGGAGGGCTGAGGGCTGGAAAAGAAATCTCCAACCTTCAACCCAGTCCAAACCCTCAAAACTCGATTAGTTCAGCCGATTTGATTTTATAATTATTAAAAAATCAACAACTTTAATTCGAAGTAAACTTAATTCAAACCTAAAATGATCCAAACCTAATTACTTTTTGAATTATAGGATAAAATGTGAATGCCGTAAATCCCCTTCCAAGTTCCAACTCCCAAACCTATTGGAAAATATTTTAATCATGAGACTGAATGGACCACAAAAAGGCCTGTAGTTTGTCATTGTTAACAAGTCAGAAGCTAGAGCACGACTGTGAATCATCAGCAAGCGCTCGAGTGATGGGATTTCTAAGGTTGTAAAAATTTTCAGTAAGAAAATCTTTGAATTTGAGTTTGTCCCCACAAAAAAATCTGTCCTCATAAAAATGCTTGCTTCCAAATTTGTTGTTTTTATCACTTGTCCAGCAGAGAGTGTTTGAGTGGCCCAAAGTTCTGCAATGCGATCCAACTTTCTTTTTCTTTATTCTGTTCTGTTTTTTTTTTTTTTTTTAATGAAGAAGAAGGGTTTGTACGATTATTAACCTGGTTTCTATGCCCCTGAAAGAAGATGGTGGCTTGAGAATTGTAACAAGAAAAAAGAAAAGAAAACAGTAATGGTCATTGCAGGATTTGTTATGAACCAGCAATTATGTTGTCACATTTTGCTTGTGTCAATTGTAAGAACAATTTTTTTTATGGTAGAAATTTTTTATATTTTCTGGATTATCATCTTGTCCAAAGTGTGAGAACAGTAATGGTCAAAGTTTTGAGCTATATCAACTTGTTATCCAAATTCCAACATTGTTTTCAATGGAACTTCTCACCGAAATCTCCAAATTTGTTTACCATTAGTCAGTGTTTTCTCCTCAGGAAAATCAGTTGCAATATTGATCACACATGATGGAACATTTCAATTTCTGTACGACTTTTCTGCATCACACTTTACTCCAGCTATTTTATACATTGTTATTGATTTTGTCAAGCATCCCATTGTCCTTGTCTGAGATCAAGAACGCTTGGGTTTTTTATGATTACCGATCTATGATCCTATTAGAGAGCTTCGGATTTGGCAAAAATGGCCATGCATGGACATCGAGACATCAAAACACACGATTCAACCATTCTTTTATGGGATTTTTCATAGCTACTATCCCTTCATTTTGAAGCATTTGGAATGAAGGCTTTGGTGTTTTATCAAGCAGGTATGCAAAGCTCATATTCAAGTTTGAAAATTAAACCTCACTGCTAGAACTTAGAGCGGTTGTATCAAAATCGATGACCCTAATGCATATAATATGGCATTGGGAAACTGTCAGCCAGAATTCAAAGTGTCAATGCATGTTCATACGGAAAGGTACCAACCAAAGTGCCTTGAAATGGTTTGTGCCTCAGGACAAAATCAAATACATAATGTTGTTCATTGTGATAGTCCTTCAAGATCCCGAAAAACATGTTTTGATGACACTAATCCCTGATTTACAGATTCTTGAAAACATAGCTTATGTAGTTATCAGCGAAACCTGGCCAGCGACAAGAGACTGGATGACTTGGAACCAACTGTTCTTGTTGATTGATATTGCTTCTTGTTGTGTAGTGTTGTTTTTGCAACCATTTGGTCAATAAGAAGCCTGAGGGAAGCATCAAAGACAGATGGAAAGGCAGCTAAGAACCTGGAAAATTTGATAGTTTTCAAGCAGTTTTATATAGTGATGATAGTGTATTTGTACTTCAAATGTTGGAACAAGAATAGCTTTTTGTTGTGAGACTAATAGTAATAATGTGGTATTAAACTTCAGTTCTAGTTTTGTAGGGAAGAACTTCTATGAAATTTAAGGGAAATTTATAATTTTTTTTTATCAAGAATGATTAAATAAAAATTTTAATAAAAATTTCAAATCAATACATTAATAATGTTAACAAAAATATCAATAATATGTAAAAATATTATTAAAAATATTATTTATAATTAAATTTGATTAGTATTTATTTAAAAGTAAAACTTCTATTAAAATTCTTACTAAGAATACTTATTTAACAAACATAGCAAAATTTATTAAATTTTTTTTAAAATTTGCACACTAGATTTATGTAATAAAAATTTTTAATTTATCGATTTTTATTTTAGATTTTAATTTTTATTTAATCAGTTTTAGCATAAAATTTTACAAATTTTACTTAACAAATTTTATTTAAATCTTTCTTAAATTTTGCATATCAATTCAAGAGAAAAAAAAGCCTTAAGAATCAAATTTCAGAATTTTTTTGTATCTTATATGTACCAGTTTTCTTCTTTAAAAAAAAAAAAAAAAACCTGAAAATTTATGATTTAATTTCATTATTTCTTTTTTCCTATGCTCAAAATCAAATTTCAGCATCTGTTTTTCTTTTTGGATAAAAAAAACCAATCTTTCAATTAAATCATTTAATCCTAACTTTTTTAAAAAAAGTATTTCAATGTCTTTAAATAAAGTATATATACTAATATATATTTTTTTGTATATTTACTTAGTTACAATAATCACTTTATTATTAAACACATTGAACAACTTTGTGATAGATTCATTGCATAGTTTTATTAAAAAGTTTACTTTCACGTGAAGGTATAAATGATATATCAGTACTCATAAATTATTCAAATTTGATTCAAATAAATTTGAATTCGGCTTGATTATTATTAAATCGAACTCGAATTCAAATAGTTCGACTCATTGATCAAGTCAAGTTCAAACATTCTTATACCCAACTTGAATAGCTCACAAGTCTAATTGAACTTTTATATTTAAATATATTTTTATTATTTTAATTAATAAAATATCTTCAACTCGAACTCAAGTTCGAATACAAATAATCAAGATAAGCTTTAATCGAATATAAAAATCGAGCTTATTTTTACATATTAATCGAGTGAGTTTGAATAGCTTAATTTCTACCTCAAGTCGAGCTTGAGCTAAAAAAATAAAACTCGATCGAGTTCAAATCAAGTTTCAAGTCTTGAATTTTGCTCACGAGTCTAATCGAATTTTTATATTTAAATATATTTTTATTATTTTAATTAATAAAATATCTCGAACTCAAGTTCGAGTACAAATAATCAAGATAAGCTTTAATCAAATATAAAAATTGAGCTTATTTTTACATATTAATCAAGTGAGTTTGAATAGTTTAATTTTTATCTCAAGTTGAGCTTGAGCTAAAAAAATAAAACTCGATCGAATTCGAATCAAATTTTGAGTCTTGAATTTTGAATCGAGTTTAAGCTCGAATTTAATACTGTATTGGCTTGAACTTAAATGATTATACCTTCACTTTCATGATGTGATTTTTTTAAAATAAAAAAATTATAATTTAAAAATAAAAATAAATTACCAATGTTTCTATTTAAATTTAAAATAAAAAATTATTAAATAATGAAATAATGTAATTAAATTTCCGATTCAACTTCTTCTTTCATATTTTAAAATAATTATAAAATACAAATAACATATATTTATATATAGAATTTAAAATTTTTAAATTAAATAGAGGTTATAAAGAAAATAAAATCACTTTATTAAACAACACCTAAATTATGGTCTAAATTTCTTTTTAAAAAATAAAATTAAAAATTTTTTACTCAAAATTCAATTTTTATTTAAAAAAAAAAACTTTATAACAAACAATTTTTTAGTAATAAAAATCTTTTTAGGCAATAACGTATAAAATGAAATTGAGAAATGAAATTATCCAAACCAATGGGAACTCAGCTTCTCCTCTTCCTTAAACTTCCAGCTCCACCTCTCACTTCGCTCCCTCTTTCCAACCTTAACAAATCCTTAAACACCACCACCACCACCATCTTACGCTGCAATTCCACTGGGTCACACCGTACAGGTAGACAGTTCAGATTCGATCCTCAAAACTCCGCTGATGATGATGATGAGTTCGAGTTCAGCAGCGCCACGAAGCAGAGGATTTGGTGGACTGACTTCGATGATTACGATGATGTCTGGGACTTTGATGAGGATGATGAGTTCTGGGTTTTTAAGGTAACCAAAAATTATCTATTAAAAAGTTCTTTATTTTATTTTCAGTGATTAAGCTTTGTAGGGTTGTTGAGAGAATTGATTGAATTTAGATGAAGATAAGATTACTATTAAAAATAAACTAAAGGGTTTTTACGACGGGTTGATAATTGGGTAACGGGAAATGATGTGAATTTGAAAAAAAAAAATAAATTTAAGATGTGTTTGATACACAAGATTATGATAGAATATGATAAGATAATATTATAAATAGAATTAACCTTTCTTTTTTTTTTTTTTAATCAACTGCAACTGCTCTCTATATGATCTTCACTTTTAAATTTATTTTATTTTAGATTTTTTCTCCTGTTATAATGCAAATTCATTTTTCAACACAAAAATTAGATTTGAATAACTTTTTAAAAGGTTAAAAAATTATTAACTTCTAATCTCAAAGTTTTAATTTTATTCTTTTAATGATATATTCTATTTTTCTTGTTTTGATAAAAAATATATTATTTAGCAATTGGTTTATTTGTGGTTTTTTAAATCATTCACAATTTTAAGTAAAATGATTTATTTGATGTAATATGTTTCTTTGTACACTTGTTTATGAATTGATAAAATTTATAATTTTGTAAGTTATTTTTAGTATTTTTTTTTTGTATATATTTATATTGACAATATATACAGTAGTTTACATATGAAGAAAAAAAATAAAATTTAGTATGATATTAATTGGCATCCTCAAAATCAAAATCACGATCTGTCACTAAAATAATCCTCTCCACTTTGGAAGGATTGAATCATCTTATACTAAGAGAATGATTAATCTTTCACGTAATCTTATCCCTTCCTTTAGATACAAACCAAACATAATATTAAGATGATTATCATCATATCTTATCATTATCTTATACACTAAACATGACCTTAGGGTTTGAAACATCTAGTTGAGAAAGAAATGAAGATTTAGCCTTGAGACTTAGCTCAGTTGTTCATGTCGTCACCCTTAAAAGAGATGGTATTGGTATCTAATAGATATGAGGTTCAAATCTCAACACGTTTAAGTAATCCATAATCCCTATTCTTATATTAGGCTGTGACTTCTTTTATACAGAAAAATTTTTAGCCTTGAGAAGTACTATTGAAGGAAGGATTCTTGGTTAGAAGATTGTGAGTTGTTATCATGTAGGAGGAAAGCATATCCTCCTGTAAACTCTTTTTCTCTCTGTTTCTCATTTTGTTGATTCTGGTGGACATTTATAGAAATGGGGATATTTGAAAGTTATTGTACAATTGGGTTAATTTCTCATTATTGGAAAGAATTTTCGGAGGATATGGGGATATTTCTAGCATATTGCATATTGTCAAGCTGTAATGGATACATGGAAAAAATATTGCATATATTGCTATATGCAATGTATGTAGTTGATATGAAGGAACAAGCTTACTGACTTTAACATTGGTGGTGAGTGAGTTTCTGTGACTGAAAATCTTTCTTTGCATCATCTGCAGTATCATATTCCGAGCAAGGGTCGTCTAATGAGTCAAAGTGAATTTTAATTTTTAAATGCTTTAATGAAGATAAAGATTTATCAAATAGGACTGTTTAGCTTCGTTTTTCTTCTTCATAAGAAGGAAGTATTGATACACATTTTCAGAGAAAAATGGAAAATATGGTAACAAATTCCGAAATTTTCTACCTTATTTGGAGTAGTTGAAATTTTAAAATTTGTTATAATATGTATATTCCTTTAATTCATTGTAAAGTAAACAGGTTTCATTTGTTTACATACCAAAATTTCTTCATGATATAATGTGGACTTCATTCTTTCTGATGATGGTAATGTACTTATCTTAGAGATTGTTACATACAGGCATTTAGAGCTTTTGGCTGGATGCTACCAGCCATTGCCATATCGTTGCTGCTAGGAACAGGCCCCAATGCTTTTATCATGGCATTAGCAGTTCCACTAGGGCAGTCAGCACTTTCACTTGTGTTCGATAAGGTTTCAGGAAGAGAGAGTAAGAGATGGAAATCCACGTCCAGGCCGAAGACCAGGAAGAAACATTTTACAAGGGCTGCTAGTAACATGAGAACAAACAAGGGAAAACAAGATTCAAATACGACTGGTGGAGAGAAGGCAAGTTATAGCTCCTGGTTGAATACAGATGGTGGTTTACGTGATAAGGGTGCCAAGAGAGTCCCAAAGTTTGGTGGATGGGATCAACTGGATGATCAAGTGGAGACCCAAAAAAGGGCACCAAGTCAAAAGGGAAATGGACTACCAAAGCAACAAAAGAAGGGTAAATTTAGTAGGATAGGGAGAGTCAGAGAAACACCATTGCTGCTGAGGTTGTTGATTGCTGTTTTCCCATTCTTGGGCTCTTGGACAAGGTTCCTTCTCTGATTTTGTACTGCCAGAACACCGTCCCCGTATAGAGGGAAGGAAGAATTATGAACTTTTCATGCCTATAATACTGCTGCTTAGCCACCTTTGACGGACTTAAGGAAGCAAATACAATGGGACGCTACCAAGAAACAGTTCGAGGCAGAAATTAACTTGGGAAGGTAAAGGAAATTTAGTCAGCAATGTCTTCCCTTCCCTTCCCATACCATTTTCACGCATATATCTTGCTTTGCATCCTTTTATGGTCCATGTCAAGGCTTGTTCTCCATCTCCTAGCTAGAAGATGAAACCTTATAATTGCTTATTAGTAGGATAATACACTTTCATCTCTCTCTCTCCAGCTCCCCCTTTCCTGAGCAGGGATACAAGGAGGAGATGTTGAAATGTAATCATTGGCGATGTTGTATCAATCAATGGACTATGATCTTTGCCTCTTCGTCTGTTCCACTGCCATTCCCATTCCTGGATAAGTCCTAAACCCTTGTTTGTTAGTCCAATTAGGATAAGGACTTGAGTTCTGATTCTAAATGGAGTCACTTTCAAGCCTGCCTTCACTCATCTCTACCCAGTCCCCATTGCTTGGATGCTTCCCCTTGTTGGTTGGAGAACGAGCTTATGTGGGGCATAGAATCTGTTTTTTGGGGCATTAGAAAGATCTATATTTAAAAACAATAACGTATTTATCAATTTTATCTATGGATGATGGTGAAAAGTACTTAGGAACAAATTTTAAGGGTGTTCACTGAAATTTTTTTTCAATTTTTTTTTATTTTTTTTATTTTTCAATCTTAAGAGATTTTTATGGACATCCATCCGGTAACATAATCTTTCTCTACTCAAAACCAAGTCCAAAGTCCGAAGAAACCTATCAACAAAAGTTCAAATACGATAAAATGATATAACACGAAAATAATACAAATAAAAATATAAAGTAATACGATTTAAAATTTTAATAAAAATTATAAATAAATTTAATAAAATAAAAAATATATTTTTTATATTTTTATATCGATACGAATTGTGATACGTAATTTTTTATAAAATATAATATAAATATATAAATTTTTAATATTTTATACAATATAAATACATGAATTATTAGATCTATGCAAAGTTGAATGTGATTTTCTGATTTTTTTTCTCTCAAAAATGTTTTATTTGTAAATCAAGTCCATCCATAAAGAAATATGAACTTGAAAAACATAGAAATTCAACCAACATTCACATTAAATAAAGTAAGAGTTTAATTAGTCCAATAATAACAATAATTTAATACTTAACTAATTCAGCTTCTTAAAATTTTTTTTAACATTTTTTTTGTCAAGAACTACTTGTTAGTTTAATTGAACTTTTTATATAAATTTTAATAAAAAGGAAAAGTATTAAATTAACATCTATTGTTGTGATAGTAGATGTTACCTTTAACATCAAGTTATACCATTGTATTTATTAGTACACAATCTTTAATAATAAATATTAACCACGAATTTAATTAAAAAATTAACTCGATTAATTCATATTATTATTCTTAAAAGGTAATCACGAATTTTAATTTTTAATGATTTTAATTTTTTTTATTTTAATGTGCAAGTTTATTTATAAAAAAATATTAAATACTTTAATCGTGCTAAAAAAAACCAAATAAAACTGATAAAAAAAGTGTAAAACTATGCCCATTTAGGAAAAAAATGTAAAATGTCCAAAACCGTTAAAATAAAATGTAAAAAAAAAAAAAAAAATTACATGTACATTCGTTCCGTTTTCACACTATCGCCGTCCCCATTACCAATAAAACTATAAAAGCAACTGCCAACGCACTCTCCGTTTCTTTCATGAGCTTACTCTCTTCTTGCTCTCTATACTCAATCAAAACCCTCTTCCAACTGTGCCAATCCCACCACCGAGTTCACTCATCGACTCCTCCACCAACTCAAAGATTGTCAAGTCCAATGGCGATACCTCCAAGTTTTGCCTCCTCCTTTATCCACACCGAGGGGGGTCTAGCAACAAGTCTCTGGAAAAAGTTTCGTAAAGAATCATTGTTCTCTCTTTACTCGCCTTTTGCTGTTTCTTTGGCTTCTGGGACTCTCAAGATCGACACCTTTCGTCATTGTATTGCCCAGGATGTTCACTTTCTCAAAGCCTTTGCTCAAGCGTGAGTCCTTTTCTTTTCCTTAAAGTCTTTTTGATAGATTTTTCAATCTGGGTTTTTGTTTGTTTTGGAGAATGTATCTTTGGGTTTTCTTCTAATCTTCTATTTGTTAAGAAAATGTAGTTACAAGTCACAAGCTTAAGTTTTTAGCCTTCTTTTTCCTTTCTTGCTGGGTTTCCTTTGTTTTTAATTTTGTGATCTTTTACATTAATTTTATCTTTTTTTTTTGGATAATAGAATCTTGTGTTTCTTTTTCTTTTTCTTTAATCTGATTCTAGTTGCTAAAGGCGTGTACTTTAGGAATGTAAGGCTTTTTTTTTTTTTTATGCATTTTGCTTTTATTATTTGCTTATTTGCTATTATTCTGTGGTTGCTTTGAAGGTGTGAGAAGAGGGAAGGGAATTGGAATCTCAATGTTGGATTTTGCCTATGCAGATTGATATTTCCTTTTAATGGTAATTGGTTGAGTATCTTTAGGTTGCATGCACAGTTTAGTTAGAAGAAAAAGAAAAAGAATCTTTTGAGTTTTAAAGATCTTTTTTTGTACATCTGAATTAGATATTTATGAATTGGTTAATTTGCTATATTAATATGAATTGACATGATGTTGAAATGATATGGAGTTCTATTTTTTTCTTATTATTCTTTTCTGATTGAAGGTTTATGTAGAATTGGTTTGATAAATTTGCCCATGTTGAGTTGCATTTAATTGGAAACTAAAAGAAAATTGAAGAACGGTCATATAATTTTCAACTCTTAGGTAGTTTAGAAATGCTGCATGTCCATGCTTTCTTGCTGATATTCTGTTTAATGGAAAGCATCATGATTTTTGCATCATCTTGTTGAGTTGTGAAAAGGCAGAATTTGGGATAGTAAACTGAGATTCTTTTCTATGAATCTCTGTTGATGTTTGAGCATTGAATTTCTATTTTAAGATTGATATAGCTATTTCCCAACCCCTTCCTAGTTATTGGTTGCGGAGAAAATGTAGGAGAAGATGAATGAAAATTTAATTTCTAAGCGCCATTTGGTTGCTTAAGTAATTATTCAGATGTTTATTTTCTCTTCTCTTTGTTTGCTTTCTCAGCAACCAATTGGAGGGTTATATTGTTATTATTTGGGGAAAAAAGTAATTACATTGGTTGAGGTGAGTTTCAGTTTCCAGAATTTAAATTGACCTTTAGTGGTTGATTAAACAGAATGTCTTTTTCTCTAAGATAGTTTTAATTAGAATTGCCTTGTGCTGTTAATAAGTAGGTCCTTAATTGATTTCTTGTTTTTTAAAATCTGGGTTTTAGGTATGAATTGGCAGAAAACTTTGCAGATGATGATGATGGAAAGTCAGCAATCTCTGAGTTAAGGGAAGGTGTCTTGAAGCAGCTAAAAAAGCACAATTCTTTTGTACAAGTATGATGAAAAGATTCTTCTTTTCTGTTGCTTAGTACATCTTAATTATTGGAAAAGTTAAGATGAAAAATGGAAATTGAATTTCACTTTGTTTTGCCATGGCCTGTAGATTTATAAAATATCGTATTGCCAACTAGTTAAAACAGGATTTACTAGGAAAACATTGGTGTCTAGGAGATGCTACCTTGGGTCCAACTGGCATATGATATCATCTCCGATAGAACTTTAATCCAGAGTTTTTGTACCAAATCAGTCTTGATAATGTCTGGCACTTGCTATTTATTTTTATTATTCAATTCTTTATTGACATGAAAGGTCCATTGCTTGGATTTCATTTCCACCTTTTTTTCTGATGATATAGAGGGCTTGCTTATGAATTATTTGGTCCTTTTGGTGGATGACAAATTTCAATTGGATGAGGACTGGACTTTGATATGATAAGCCCTGCAAATCATCACTCAGAGAAATCTTATAAAGAGATTTGCGGAAACTATCAGACTTGTTTGAATAGTTACTATCTGCCTTGTTAATTGTTATGCTGTTTACAATACCATGAAGCTTCATCTACTCTATAAGGTAGTTACCTAATAATCCATATGCATACGAGTATCTCCTTAGTTCATGTCTTGAAGGATATCCTCTTGGTCTGATTGGTGGAGCTCTGCAGGAGTGGGGTTCTGACTGTGTTAAAGAAAGCCCTGTCAATTCTGCAACATTAAAGTACACGGAATTCTTACTGGCAACAGCTTCTGGGAAGATTGAAGGACTAACAGATCTAGGAGCACTTGCTACTCCGTTTGAGAAAACAAAAATTGCAGCTTACACTCTAGGGGTCATGACACCTTGCATGAGGCTGTATGCCTTTTTGGGTAGGGAGTTTCGGGCACTTCTAAAACCCAATGAGCGTGATCACCCATACAAAAAGTGGATTGAGAATTATTCTTCTGAAAGTTTTGAGGTATCATTGATTGCATTCATTATAATATACTTATTACAGTCTCGGAGGAAAAATTTATTAAATAAATGACCTTTTAAATCCTAAGGCTCAACTATTGATTCTTTGAATTTAGGCATCAGCTCAGCAGACTGAAGATGCGCTGGATAAACTTAGTGTCTCTTTGACAGGCGAGGAACTAAACATCATTGAGAAGCTTTATCACCAAGCCATGAAACTTGAAATAGAATTCTTCTACGCACAGCCACTTACTCAGCCCACTGTTGTTCCTCTGACTAAGGAGCATGACCTCACACAAGATCATCTAATGATATTCTCTGATTTTGATCTTACTTGCACAGTTATTGATTCATCCGCCATGTTGGCAGAGATAGCAATAATAACAGCCCCCACATCTGATCAGAGTGAACTGGAAGGTCAAATTGCTAGGATGTCATCTGCCGACCTGAGGAATACCTGGGATCTGCTTTCCACGCAATACACAGAAGAGTATGAACAATGCATAAAAAGCATTTTGCCCTCTGAGAAAGGTACTGCAATATACTGCGATGACCATTTAAAGTTTAAACCATATGCTTAATCTTCAACAAAAAAAAAAAAAAAAAAAAAACCTGGATAACATTTCAATTTGCTCCTCTGCTATTGACTTTTACTTCCTGTGGTTTTACAGCGGAGTTCAACTATGAAGCTCTGCATAAAGCTCTTGAGCAAGTCTCCGACTTTGAGAAAAGGGCAAATTCTAGAGTGATTGAGTCAGGGGTACTTAAGGGTCTAAAACTTGAAGACATTAAACGCGCTGGTGAACTAATGATTCTTCAAGATGGTTGCATTGGTTTCTTTCAGAAAATTGTAAAGAATGAAAATCTTAATGCCAATATCCATGTGATTTCTTATTGTTGGTGTGGTGATCTCATCAGGGCAGCTTTTTCTTCGGGTATGTTCGTTTGCTCTTTATTATAATTAGGCAAACAGCTTTTTTTTCCATCATCTTCTGCTTCTATCTTGTCAGTTGCTTTGGCTGCAATTTTGAGTGTCATGCAATTTAATGATTTCATGTCTCTTGAGAAACTGAATGTCTGAATTTATCCCAGCTGCTAATACTGATAGAAAGTCTATTACCAAGTGATTATTTTCTTTATTCATTCATTTTAAGCAGGGGGTTTAGATGTTCTCAACATCCATACAAATGAGTTCAATTTCGAAGAATCGGTATCCACAGGTGAAATTGTTACGAAGGTGCAATCTCCCATTGACAAGATTCAAGCTTTCAATGATATCTTACAAGACTGTAGCAATGACAGAAATATCCTGACGGTTTACATTGGAGACACAGTAGGTGATTTGCTTTGTCTGCTGAAAGCAGATATTGGTATTGTGATTGACTGTAGTTCAAGCCTAAGGAGACTTGGGCGTCGGTATGGTGTTTCTTTTGTCCCATTGCTGCCTGCCCTGGTTGAGAAACAGAAGCAATATGCTGAAGGAAGCTCTTGTATTTGGAAAGGGAAATCTGGAATTCTTTACACTGTCACTAGTTGGGCTGATATTAATGCCTTCTTTTTGGGGTGGTAGAATCTTTTCTTTTTCTTTGTTTTTTTCCCACCCATCATCTTCATGTTAGTTAGGACAGATGAAGCAATCATTTGTACAGAGAAGGATTTACAATGAGGGCAGCATTCATTTGTACAGAGAAGGATTTACAATGGGGGCAGCAATCCAAAAAAAAAACTGTTTGATAGTATTGGGCTGCCTCCATTGAAATCTAAAAGGAAAAAAATTTTTTTTTGACAAATTGTGTAATTACCACAAGTTTAATTGAAGTTTTGATTTTGCTCCCACAGAATTTCAATTAGCTAGTATCACATTTTAAATTTGAGTAGTGTAATATTTACATAACTTGCAAACTATTTTAGAAAATTTTTAAGAAAATTTAGTAGTAGTATTTTTTTGTATTAAAAACATAATTTTATTAGCACATCAACATTAGCATTTTCTGACTAAATCTTTGGTGGAATTGGAAAGTTTGTGATTTTAATATTTCATGTATTTAATTAAAGGCTTGATTACCATAAAACTTGCTATTGTATTTGATAGTATTACTTCTTAATATACCAGCAAAGATCAAACACCCTAAAACATATTTTTGTTTGAAAAAACAAAAATTAAAAATTAATTTTAAAATCATTGTTTATAGACTGAAATTTTTTCTGGCCAAAAAAATTTTAAAATTTATTTAATCATTTTTAATTTGAAATTTTAAGAACTTTACCTAACTAATCTTAAATATTTTCTTAATAATCAAAATGCCATGGATAAAAAGTCTTTGAATTTGACTTCTAGATAGTAAGACATATAGGAATTTGACATAAATGAATATGAAACTAATCAAAGACTTGGGACTTGGGAGCCAATGTTAGCTAACACCAATAAAATGGAGGGCCCAACCCCCCAAACCTTTTTTCATGGACCCAAATCCCAAACTTAAATATCAATAAAAGAAAAACTTAGGAGCTAATCAATATGATTGTACTTGATAAAAGGTGTAGCTGATGCAATAATTAAAATATGATTTTGAGGATTAGATAGACTATGATAATCTTAAATGATACTTAAGATTGGTTTGACAAAACCCAAGTGGTCTCATTGAAATTATTTTTCTTAGTGGATATAATTCAAGTGTTAACATCAATGTTTGAAGTGTTCAAAACTCTAAGATGATAAAATCTAATGAAATCCCATTCCTTATTTTTGTTCATCATATATAGTTTAGTTCATATAATTAAAGCATTATTAAACAAATCAAATTGAAAGAGAAAAGAAAAGAAAACCCAAGAAAACATATTGATCATCATCTCCTTTCTTTCATTGAGACATTGATTTGGTTTTCCTATGTCCCACCCAATCTGTAATTTAGTGTTTTTAATTTAAGACAAAACTATACATTAGAATAACAATTAAGCCAATGCAAAAATGCTTTTTTTTTAATTTATTTTTATTTATTTATCTCCTTTTGGCTTAATTTGTAACTTTATATCATTGGTTAGCTGTGCAAAAAAGTAGTGTTTATAAAATTATATGAAAAGGTTAGGTGTCAAGAAAAATCTTTTTTGGTGGAAACCATGATCTTATGGGGCCAATTAATGTCTACTTCTACGAGGATAATTTTTTTTATCTATATTATCACTATCCTTTGAGGTGATTACTATGGAGTTTTGAATCATTATTTGCACTAAACTATTCTTTTTAATGGAGTTTGGTGTTTTGGTCCAATAATTGGTTTTCAGTTTACTAAACTTTTTCATTATTATAAAAATATATTAAAAAAAAACCCATTAATCTTTAGCTCTTGTTTCATCCGTCCAGCACACCAAGAACAAGGAAATAAAATTATTCATATAAATTAATCATCTTTCACTACCTAGCTTCTCTCTTCTTCTCATTTTTTTTTCCCTTTTCTTTGGGTTTTTAGTTATTACATGTTGGATCAAGGAGAAGGAGATAATTGCCATGGGATTACTTGCAGAGTTGAGAGGAAGTTATTTGCAAGGCCAAGTTTTGTTCATGTTCAATGGTATTGTTATACTGTCCAAGAATGGCTTTGCATTTGAGCCATGGCCTAAATAGATGGAGCAAATTAAGAAGATGGTGATCTTGACTTTGAGGAAATTATTAACCTCTAGGCAAGTCTGTTGCTTGGCTGATCTTCTCTTTTGTTTTTGGTTTTCTTTTTGTTTTATCTTGTTTGGTTGCTGTGAAAATGGAGGATATTATAAGAATAAGATTTGGACTCTTGGCTTCATGTAATTAAGATTCCAAGACTTCTCTTCTTGTCTGCTCCCCACTGCTAGAGAAAACTTTGTGAATAGTGAAAGACATTTTGTTTCTTGTTCATCGTTTACATTCATCAAACAATATACCTGAATCTGATCACTATTTTTCCTGAATGTCTACAATAGTTGGTTTTAGTTTGAAAATCCTGCAAGTTTAAGGATATTTTAGTTGGTAAATGAACATTCCAGGGAAATGGTTTTAGTTTGAAAAAGCTGCAGCATCATGATTCATGAACATTAGAAAAGTTTAAGGATATTTTATAGTTGGTGAATGAATATTTCCAGGGCATATCCTGGATTCATTACAGGGAAAAACCTGACAAAGGAAACAAAAGAAATTCTGATCGCAAAATTGATCAGTAGCCAGTGTTGACAATTAATATTGACAGATATAGAATTCCATGGTAGAATTATCGATCAGTGCAGGAAAATGCTGGTTAAATGATGTAATGATATGGGTTCCAGGGAGTTCAGTTAATCCATCTGGTAATGAAACATGCTTTGAAACATGAAACCTGAACTTTTTTCAACTCATCATGCAAGTAAGCTACTGCTTGAATTACTAGTTGTAGATCAAAATTTCATGTTGTAATCCAAGTATTTACATTTCATGTTCTTTGCAACCCTAACTCCCTAAAATCTTATGATCAGGTTTTGATGAAATATATCAACATGAGAATAATTGGAACAGAAGACACCCGTGTCTGTCCCTTCCATTTGGAATCTTCTTTTTCGCTTTCCAACTTTCTCTTGTTAGAGTGAAAGCCAGAATGCAATGTGCAGATTTTGTAGCCTTTCTTTCATCTTTATGTAGAACTAATAAAGATATAAAGTTGCCGACAATCTCTAAATATGTCATTAAAATTAACACTTAAAAATTATAAATTTAAAAATATTTATAAGATAATGTTCTTTTATTCAGGTAAATAATTAGATAATCAATTTAACGGTAAATTAAAGATTTTTAAAAATAAATAAAAAAATATATAGTTGTCATCAACTTTAACTTGAGCCTTTAGGATAAGGATGGTGGTTCATCTAAAGTCCACTTTTTTCATCATTAAAGTATGGCCGCCACATATCTTGAACAATAGAAATGACACACAACGAAAAGAGAAAAAAAAAAGTTGGAAAACAATTGATCCATCAAATTAACAATTTTCTATTGGTTAATATCAGTCTTTTTTTTTTTTTTTTTAACAGTATTGGTGGATTTGTTCAATGAAAATTCATTAAAATTGAAGAAGATTCATATCTCACAAAGAAGCAAAATCACTAGTTGGGATTTGGGAAATCCTTCGAATAACATACTATTGCCTCCAATATTTTATAAACTCAATTCCCACTTATGGATTTGACTTATTTTTAACATTTTTGTACCCTTAATTAATGAATTGGACTTTTTCAAAAGTGCTTTTTGGTGTATCACAAAATGCAAGAGATGGGATTCTATTTTTATTATTAAAAAAAAAAAAAAAAAAGAATCCAAAGATGCAAGATGTCGGTATATCTTATGCAAGCTTAGGAATAGGAATACAGTGGATATTCTTTATTTTTTAGATATTTAATATTTATAATATTTTAATTTATTTAAATATTTGTTTAACTTTAATACTACTATTTAAATTTAAATTTGTTTAAATAAAATTTATCTATTTAAATATTCAAATTTATTAAAATATTCATATTTGTAAATTAAATAAATTTTTTGTTAAAATGTAAATTAAATAAAATTTAAATTTAAAATTTAAATTAACTCTTAATTAATAATGAATAAAAGCTATATTTTAAGATCCAAAACTTTTTATAAGTATAAATTTTATATATTTTATATATATATATAAGCAATAAACAGATATAAATATATATTATTATTCATTAAATTTTAAATAATTTTAGATATTAAATATTTAATAAATATTTTTCGTATGTACTTTAAATTTATCATAAATAATAAATCTTTTATTCAAATTTATTAATTATCCATTTACAAGTATTCAAATTCAACGTAAACAAATCGAAAAATAAACGTTTACTTACTATCGTTTGCCCTCTCTGCTGGCTTCAAGTTTTGTCCTTTTTTCTAATTTGTTGGCTTTTGAGTACATATAAGGCTATTAGGTTCCATTGATAATTTTTGGTTATCAAATGAGCTTAAAAACATCCAACTTTGCAAATTGCAATGACTATTTAATGTATTCCTGATCATCTGATAGATTTAAGGCCATAGAGTCCTTGTCATTTGCTAACCAAATCCTATCCTTTATCCTATTATATTTTCTACAAATAATTGGCATTTAGTTTGAACATATGATAACATGGCCTACATGGAAAAAAAAAATTCCTGGTTTAAAATGATTGTAATCTTCCATAAATTTGTCAAATATTGTAATCTTTTATTTATGCTCCGACTCTTCATTTTTCTCGAATTTTTTATGTTTCATATATATAAATAATGGAAATGAATATGAAAATCCGATGCTTTAAATATATGAAAAAATTATAAAAAAAAAAAATATATTCGTGTCAGATACATATCCAGATCTGATACTTACACCGAGTGCCAAAAACATAATCCATGAAAATGATATCATACAATTTTGTCTCATACATATATAACAAGTATGAATATGAATATCCAACCGTCCAAATATATGAAAAAAAAATTCAAAAAAATAAACATATCCATGTCGGAAACATATCCGAATCTGACACGTACACGAGTGCAAAAAACATAGTCCATGAAAATGTTGTCAGACTTAACTGCCTATTTTTGAAAAGTGCATACAAGGAAGGAAATGGCTACCTCTTCTAGAAAGCTTTTGCTTGATGTAATTTCAATTACAACAAAGTAACAAACAAACACCTGATGGAGAAAAAATTGCATTTCTATTTTGACAAAATTTTCTGCAATATTTTACAAATCAATTGTTGTGATGGTATGTTAAATAAAATACAAATTAAAGGGAAAAATGAGGTGCAGGTAAGTACCATGGCATCTTGAAGCCTTCTATCAACATAGGAAACATAAACTCCTTGATCGTGGGGTGTCCCGGTGTTCAAGACCTTTGATGAACGACCTAATTGCAAGATGCTCCGAAGCATATGTCATGAAAGATGCTAATATGAGCCCTCCAACCACCATCAGACCCATCCTGATGACAAAATGTCATGGACCATGAAAGTTGGTGAAACTAATTCAAGAATACTTGATATGGATTTTCAAATGTTAGATTCAAGGTTTTAACAACTAAAACCATGATGACAAGAACATATGAAGAAATAAAGTCAGCAATCTCCATATGGAGTTGAAAAAGTTGTCTTTCAAAAAGACAGTAGAAAACAAGAACATCCCAATAGAAATTACCTCAAGAACAGAGCGGTGATTCCAAAAATACAAGGCAAGGATGGGGTAGCGATCGCCAAAAAAGCCATCCCCAACCCATAATACCAAGTAACAATATCACAAGAGGATGCTGGCCATTGATGACCTGGAAAGAACATACAAGAATTGTCAACCAATATTTAAATTAATACAAAAAGGGAACACACGTCATATTTTAGCATGATCATGGACGATAACTTATGCATTTGTTCCAAGTAAATAAACCTTTTCTAGAATCAGAATCAAAAGAATCCATATGAGAGGAAAAAGATCCCAATTGAGTTGCTGTTCTATTTCCCAACTGGTATATCAAATGAAGAAAAGCTCCGAACAATAGAAAGAAGATTGTAAACGTCCACTCATACATCAAGAGCAAGCCAGTCCATGGCATCACTTGTCGAGGCACAATTGCAATAGCAATTCCAAGGGACACCACAGCAGCCATAAAACATACAAAAACTGAAATTCCACCCAGGTAGGCAGGCACCTTGGTCTGTGCACTGTTAGGAAACTGGATAACATTACACCAAATAGTAGAAGTGAGAAATTAACAAGTTTACATCAAATTTCAGTAGACAGAGGGTAACAGGATTTTATGAAACCAGAAAGAATTCATCTTAAAAGATGAAGAGAAAACTAACTTGACTGTTCGCATTAATGGTTGAAGATGAAGAAACACCAGTGTAAGCAACTGTTCCACTTGACCTAATTACGTAGCAAAGATGTCGGATCTGATTGCATAATGAAGTTCTGGAAAGTGAACCCCCCGTCTGCAACAAAACATGGTTTGAGATTGGGACAGCAATAGACATTGATTTCAGAAAAGCAAAATAATCTGTAGCAACTAACCTGAAGGAAAGAACGATAGTAACAAAAAAGTAGAGCACACAAAGGTAACAGGAAGAGGACTTTGACTAGAAGCTCATCATTAGGATTTTTGCCTCCTCCAGTTCCAGGAAGGGATTCTTCAAGCTGTTCCCTAACATTCTGCAGTATCAGCAAACAAATTATACATTTGTCCTATTTACTAAACAGAGAGCTTCTCATATAAATTGACCAAGGAGTCAACTAATACCTGCCAGACATCAACTGGTTTTAAGAGCCAAGATGTCCACCAATCCCAAGGTTTAAGGGGACCAAGTGTATAGTGAATAACACGAAGTTCACTCTCATCTACCATCCACTGCACAAATAACACATAAAGAGATAAGAATACTTAACCAGAAAAATAAGCATATCATAAGAAAAAACAGAACTTGTTTCCTTTTTGGTTTTTGCGTATGTTTCATCGTGGAATAGTTAAAAATAAATAAAGAAAAGAACTGAAACAAATCTTCATGATCCATAAACAAAAGACACTCTACAAAAGTCTGTCATCAGAATGCATAAAGTGAGGATTCAAATAAATAAAAAGCAAACCGCCGAAAGGAATTTCAAATTGATTATATGCAGCATATTCTAAATTTCAACTGCTTGATTACAAGGCAAAGATAGACAGAAAGGGAATGGCAACCTGCTTATCAGGTCTCTTAACCAGCCAAGCTTCTCCAAACTCTGATTACACCTTAAATACTATACTATTTTTTGCACTCTTTAAACTTTTTTTAAGGCAGTATTTATTCTAGTTTTTTTACTAATTGAACTATACTTTATTCTCTGCTAATTTTAGTAACATAACCATGTAGCATGTGAAACAAGCCTAACAATGGTACAGCAGAATGACATAAAGTTTAAAACGTAATATTAATGTCAACATGTGTAGCAGTACCTTGTTGGCAAGCATGTAGAGACCAACATCTGCATTGTAAAGAGTAGAGAGTCGCTCCATCTCAGGAACTGTTCGAGATTTCAACACCTCAGGGGGTATATTAGGGTCAAAAACACGGGCATTTGGGAAATCATAGTAATAAGAATTCAGAAACCCCTGATCTCCTCCAGTATAAGAAGGCAAGGTATTCACTTTGCCCATCATGTCATTGAAAACAGCTTCAGATGGTTCCACTACCATGACTCCTGAATTCAGCCTCTCAGAATGCTTCAAATTTGCACAGAATTTCTCACATTTAAAGAGATCTTCAATGCTTTTGACTACTATAGTATCCGCATCAAGATATACAACTACACAAGCAAACTCCAAGTGTGAAACAACGCAATTCACCAGAAGGAACATTGAGATAGAAGGAATTATGGACTCAAAATACTAGAATAGCTAGATGTTGAAGAAGTGGCAATAAAACTAAAGTACATAATATTCAAAAATTTGGGTCTAGCCAGCCCATAAAAGATGCAAGAATAATCTTCCCAAGAAACTTATAGCAAACATATTTTCTAGTTCTAGCTTTCAATGTTAAGGGGTAAAAAAAAACTTTTTAAACTAGGATCGACTTAAGAGCACTCGCTTATGCAATATATCAGTTAGTACATTACAAGCTGCTACCTCATCAAGGAGCAAAGTTTTAAATACCCATACATTTAAAAGTTTCCTTTAAAACTTATTGGTAATTAGTTTCAAGGACTTCTGTACTTCTAAATTTGCTCACTACTAAGATGGTCGCATGTGATGTGATTCATTGATAGTGCGTAAAACTTATGCACTCACAAATCATCAAAAATAAGCTAAAATCCAGCTATTATTCATCCTTTTCCCTACCTATACACATTTTCTCTAGCCAACAAAAATGAAACATAAAGAAACCAGAAAAGGGTCTCACCTTTCTTATAGTTAGTCATATTAAAAATTTTCAATTTGGTGTAAACACCCCAAAACCTCTTCGGCCGAACTTGATTCGGATTCGCCAATAAACTTATCTTCTCCACTATCCATCCGTCAGCCTGCCCAATCATCCAACAGAAAGGAAAAAAAAATTTTTAAAAGTAAAAAATAAGAACTTTACTTTTCTTACCAAAATAAGAAGGTCCTTAAATTATCTCAGCAAACAAGTAGAGCACAATTATAAAGCTCATAACTTTCCATATATAGAATTGATACAAAGAAACGATTTTTTTTTACTTGTTCTTTAAGAAACAAACATGAAGTAAATAGCTTTGAAGATCGTAATTTTCTAAGGGTAAAAAAAGGTAAATGGATCACCAAATTTTACCTTGAGAAGCTTCTTGGCAAAATCAGAGACCCCATCGGAGACCAAAACGACCATGTCTTTAGTTGATCCAGTGTCCCTTATCGATTTCCCCAAAACCCTAACCCCCAAAAGGAACTCATCTCCGTAAAGAAGCGTCACGTAAGCTTCTTTCGATGAAGGTCGAGCTTTATCCTCCAACGCCGCCTTGGATTGGATCGTAATCAAAAGGACCAATAACAGGATCCAGAGTTCTGGGAATTTCATATTATTCGATTTTCTCGAGAAAATTGTCCGGATTTTCTCGAGAAAAAAAATATTTTCGTTCTTTTTCTCTTGGATTGATAGTGGGAATTTAAAAGTTGATGAACATGGGGGTTTTGATTTTGAAGAACTGAAGAAGGTTCGTTTCGTTCATGCGTACGGTGCCGTTTTGACTTGGGACTTTACTTTCTTGTTTCCTTTTAGTTGCCAACTTTGGTTTGAAAGGGAGGAATACTCTACCATCTAAAGAATTTTTTTAACTTTTATTTTGTTTAAATTTATTTAATCTATTTTTCTATTCCTTTTTAATTTTATTACTTCTGTATAGCTTGTAAATATTTTCAATTTATTGTATCAAAATTTTGAAATTTAAAAGTAATTACAGGCATAAATAATCTTTAAAAATTAATACTTTTTATAACAAATTATAATATTTAAAAGTGAATAATTTATGATTCGATCAATTCAATTTGAAAAAATAAATAATCAAATTAATAAAAATTTTGTTCAACAAATAATTTAATCGATCAAAATTTTTTAAATAATTAACCATAATCAAATCAATGAAAATGTTGATTCAATTCGATCAATTTAATTAAATAATTGAATTTTTTTATTTTTATTTAATTATAATTTAATTTAATAAAATTTAAATTTAAGTGTCATTTAAATTAAATTACTAAAAAATTTAATAATTTTAATAACATAAAAAGACAAATAAAAATACTATCTCAACTTTTTTACTTTTACTTTTAAAAAGTTAATTAATTCAATCAGTTCGATCATCAATTTTAAAAATCGAAAATCAATCATTTTAAAAAATTTAATCATTTTAAAAAATCGATTATAATCAAAATCAAATAAAATAAACTAAATTTTTTATTTTTTATTAGTTTTAATCACTTAAAATCGATTTGAATTGATTCGTGCTTCACCCTAATAATATCAAATACTGTCATTTTTAATTTTTCGATTAAGATTAAAAGTTTCAGCATATTGCGACAAAAACTAAAACCAACACTAGTAATTACTTATAAAATGCTTGGCAAAAATAGCATTTAATGCAGCTGTTGATTTAGCTTAAAATTTCCAATTCAAAATACCTGAAAATAAATGAAAATGAGCATATCACATGACATTGTACGTAAACAGAAGAAGTATACATCTCAGACTCAAATTCCCAATAAGTTCTTCCCGATCTTGTATGCAGCATCGGCATCAGTCGATGCACAATCAATTTGCTGTTGTGTGTGACCTGATGCCGTGCCCTGGAATGATCAACCAATGTCATTCTGGAGGGCCTTGCCTTGAATAGCACCGAAAGAACTTCACGTACCAAGCTTCTCACACCAAACGCACGAAGATGAGGCTGGTGGAGTACGTCAGCTGCTAATTCACTTAGATCAACTACATTCCTAATTTCAAACCTGAATTTCTCCCACAGCCTTTTGATGTCTTCCTGCATACGTACACAAGCAAAAATTATGTCCTTGTGAGGAACTGTACCCGTTTTAAATTGCCAACCATGAATCGTTGGCTAGTATCTAACTCCATTAGTAGACAGCCAAATTGAGAGCAGCAAGCGAGTAAACCAGCATTGCTTTGTGTAAAAGGCCATTCTATGTCAAACCCAATGACCATGTCGCCATGTTCAAAAATTTTCTGCAACAACATATCAAGGCAATGGTCTCTCCTGTCTGTTTCACTAATCATTTCTGTGATTACAATGGTATCATCCAACATCAAAACCTCAGGTCCCCGTAACCTTAACATTCTTATAATGCAACATACAGCTATATACCAATGGAGAGGAAGAGAATTTTGGATTTGTACTGAGACTATACTGGACTGATTTGATTGTCCTAGCTAGGATACTGAAGAGATGATAATTTTTTTGGCTATTTATATGGAGTAACCCTTGGGATTCTTTTGAAACTCTTACGTGGAATTTGTAACACCTGCATTTATTTAGGAACTCCTTATTTCAATGTTCAAGGTGTAGAATTGTAGATCAGTACTCTGTATTCGGAAGATTCAGTTTGCCTTTGGAGACTGGAAGGTCTTTCTTGAGAAAATTTCCAATGATTAGAGAGTTAGGCTTTGTAACATTATCATTCAAATTAACAGAATTAATTCATTGAAGAAATTATCCATTCTATTTTCTCTAGAGTTCACCTTGATTTTTCCTTCATATACTTTTTTGTTATTGGTTTTGAACTTCAAAACCCGTTGGATGCTACCTTGTAAGGATAACTGTATAATCCGATTGGACTAAATTTGGGATTTTTTTTTATTGGCTTTGTGAAGAGAGGTGGGCTGTACAGGGGAAAGCTGATATTATTATCCAAGGAAACATTCTTCAAGCCGATAAACATCAAATTGATTCAGTTACTTGCAAACAAATCTAACGTGGATGTGGCTTATAAAATTTTGCTATTTGCCACCATCTTGCAATGTATCAATTCATACTAAAAACCATTAATGCAGAATTTGCTTTTACATAAAATTCCCAATCCAAATCCAGGGTGAAAATGAGGATAAGCTTTTCAATAGGCATTCAACAAACGATCATAAGCTTTCAATTCAATACCTTGTCTTGAATGGCACCAATAGCCCTCAGATGCCATTGTTCTCTCACTGAAGTGCAACAGCCGCCGGTTCACTAAGATCCACTGAATTTTAATTTCCAGCCCACAAAATTTTCTCAGCTTTTTTAACATCTTCTTTAATATGAACACCAACAAAGACAATGTCCTTGTTGTCAAAAATATAGATTATTTCATAAGAATTTTATAATATTAAATATATATTTATATATTCCTATCAACACATGTTTTGCCAAGTAACATTTTTCACTCCTTTTGAATGTAATTAAATTTTGTTACTTTTTATAAAAAAAAATAAAAATATATTGATAAAATTGAATAAAAATAAAGTATAATAATAAATTCTAATACTAAACCATAGTCCAATGACAATTTTTTATCTTAATTTTAAGAAAAAAAATAATTTCTTTTTAATATAGCCTTCAGCGGATCTTCCCTTATAATTATGAAATGATTGAGGAAGGTGATGGCTTTGACATAAAGCCATGTGGGGGACCTAATCTTTGAACGCCAAATTGGCTTATCAAAATATACACAAATATTCATAAAAAGATACTCAAAAACATGTAACCACTTTCCATGCATGCCAATGTGAGAATGTCCCTTCAATTTGAGTACATTTTTCTTCAAGCAAACTGGCCTTTGCACATGGCCTCAAACCCTCTCCACCTCCACTTATGGCTTGCATTATTACCCCTTCATATATATTTACTTAAATTATTAATATTTTTCCCTTCATATATATTGGATTCTTGTCTTTTTTTTCTTAAATATAATAATTGCTAGAAGCCAGATGGGTGCATGTGCATATGAAGAAATGGGCTATAATTTCTTTTTCTGAGAAGGAATGGTGTTTGGTTGGCAAAGACAGTGGTTTTTTAGGTCATCCATGGGAGAACATTTCACTACAGGAACTTACCACTTCCCTCATTCTCTTTCTATCTTATAAATTTTCAAGTTTTCTATTGTTATAATTTTAAGAATATAGAATAACCGTAGTTGATTTATATAATTATTTTAAAAAATAACATCACAACATTTAGAGATTAACTTTCAATATTTACAATTTATTTTTTTGTCTTGATGTGTTACGGCCTCTTTAAATATTGATTATCTCAAAAATGAAAATTAGTTTTTTTTTTTTTTTGCCAACAAAAGAAATTAGCTAAGGTGATAGCCTTTTTAAGGAATCTATTGGCAAATGATACACCTGAGTTAAAAATATTCTCTATCCCTTTGGATAGATTTCTTCATTGTTATAATTATGTTACAATGATGATAATGAATATGATTATGTGACAAAAAAAGTGAGGTGACCAACTTTTTCCTTGCATTTGAATTTTAAAAACACTAATTTATAGATTGCAGAGTTTCAAATATCCACCATTAAATAAGAAAAAAAATTTTCAGAGTACAGAAAGAAGATGCATAGAAGTTAGAAATATTTTACCAGTTTATCACCAACTTGTGTTGACTATGATGAATAATTGAAGAAGAAGACATAATCAACAGTCACTGGAAACACATTCCCTCCATGTTTTAGTGTCTAGGAGATTTGTAATAAGTCCAAAGCTTTACAGTCATGGAGTTAGCTGGTGTCAATCCCAAGAACCCACGAATTGATATTAAATTAATCAACCCCGATGATCAGCTGATTATAATCTTGATTAATATTCTAACTTTCTTCGCCACCCTCTAGCTGCTTTGTTCCACCATAGCCAAAAATGCATTACTTTTAGGAGGAACAGACTCAGTAGATAAGCAAAATGGTAAGATCCCACTTGCTGTTTTTCTACTGTTACATTGGTCTCTCACTTGTTCTTGCTGAGGGAGGTAAGACGGTACCAGTGTCACAAGATGAAGCATCAATCTTGATACTTGATAAAAGGTAGTTTTATCGATCCATTGAAGATGCTCCAAGATTGAAAGATGGCAAGGAATGTGGCCGAAACCAGATCAGCTCATTGTAACTGGACTGGAGTTTGGTGCAACTCCAGAGGCTTTGTAGAGAAATTTGATCTTTCTGATATGAATCTCAGTGGCATTGTATCAGACCATGTACAAGGTTTGCGCAGCCTCTCTACCCTTATCCTTTGCAACAACGGGTTTGATACATCCTTGCCAAAATCTTTTTCCAATCTCACTTCATCAAAGAGCATTGATGTAAGTCAAAACAACTTCATTGGCGGCTTCCCAACAGGTCTTGGAATGGCCTCAGGATTGACTTATGTCAATGCATCAAGCAACAGTGTCTCAGGCTTTCTACCAGAGGATCTTGGGAACACAACTTCACTTGAAAGCTTAGATTTCAGAGGGAGTTTCTTCGAGGGAACGATTCCTACCTCTTTCAAGAATTTGCAGAAACTGAAGTTTCTTGGCCTTTCAGGCAACAATCTGACTGGAAAGCTTCCAAGAGAGCTCGGACAACTTGCTTCTTTAGAAACCATCATTCTGGGTTACAATGAGTTTGAAGGAGAAAAATGAGAAGAATTTGGCAATCTCACCAATCTTCAGTACCTTGATTTGGCAGTTGGAGCTCTCAGTGGTCAGATTCCACCCGCATTGGGTAGGCTAAAACAACTAACTACAGTTTATTTGTATAAAAATAATTTCACAGGAAGGATTCCAT